GTTTTAACGAAAATATAATGTAAAACTTTTCTCCCGTCGTCCCCGAGTTTCTAATTATTTTTAAAAACATGCAAACTGTTTACATTTCAAAACCAAACAAAACAGCTGGGATTTAATTTTTGTTTAAACTAATGTATTGTCATCTGTTTTAGAATATAATAACATTCAAATCAATCACAATGTTATCGTTATGGAAGGAACTTTAAGGGCAGCCCACGCCCTTAAAAAGACATATTTCGAAAATCTAAAGCCAGTTTGCACATCTACACACCTAGACGAACATTTTGGTATATAATATTTGGGGTTAAATCTTAAAACAAAAAAGCCTTATTGTTCACAAAGTTTCATGTCGCGTATTAAATATATAGATAGATATATCAATTGGAGTCAGCTGTAAATACTTTAATTTGACTTTTGGTTCAAAGAACAGAGGTTAAGAAGTACAAGTTCTGCTCCAAAGAGGTTCAAGTTTTATGATTACGATTAGCAACAACATCTGATTACAGTTCAAAGGGGTTCCTTCCACCATGGGGTTAGGTTGTATTAACAGGCCATACAAAATAGATTTAACATATTAGGCTAATAAATAAATAAATACTTTATTGTCTTGACAAAATGGATTGTACCGACAGTACAATTAGGTATGGTATTAAATAAAACTCTTTAAATTGTGATGCATTTTTTATTGAAGTCTTCAATAGAGTATATTGGATTTTCAGTAAGGATTTATTTTAATTTCCTTTTGTATTCTTTTAATTTTAAGTTTTGAATATTAGTTGGTAGTTTGAAATAATTTTCTTCCGTTGTAATAAACATGGTTTTAATAAAACTTTGTTTGGTGGAAAGTAGAAGAAAATGTTTGTAATTTTGTCAAATCATAATTCTTCAAACATAATTCATTATTTTTCCAGAATTTCTTAAAATTGTTCTTTAAAAACAGTAATGTTTCAAAAATATAAATTGAGGAAAAGGTCATAAATTGGTAATTTTTAAATATTTTTTACAGGTTTGGCGTGGTTTTAATTTGAAATAATTCTTAATGCAGACTTTTGCAATTTAAATATTTGTTTAGTTTTTGATGAAGTTGAGCCCCATATAGGTATTGCATATCTAATATTGGAAATAATTAACGAATGATATACAGTGAGTAACGCGTCTTCACTACAGAACATAGACAATCTTCTTAGTATAAAAATAATTTGGGAAAGTTCTTTACATAAGTGTTCAATATTTGAGTTGAAATTTTGGTCTATACTAAGTCCTAGGAATTTGATTTTTTTTACTTCTTCTATATGTTGTTCATCAATTAAAATATTGAAGTTGAAATCTTTTTCAATTTTATCTCTGATTGAAAATTCCATAAATTTTCTTTTATTTACATTAATTTCTAAATGGTTTTCCATGAAGCATTGTGCTAGTTCATTTGCTTCTTCATGACATTTAATTTCCAATTCTTCTCTATATTGGCTGGATGTCAATAAGGTCGTGTCATCAGCAAATAATATTACTTCAGATAATTTTCTTGAATATGTCACATCATTTATGTATATTATGAATAAAATTATACCTAGTACAGAACCTTGTGGGACACCTGATTTTGTTTCAAGTTTCAACTATAATATTTTATAGAATTGTTATTATCAATAAATGGAATTTAGACTGATTGTTGCCTGTTACTAAGGTAAGATTCAAACCATTGTAGTGCAATTCCTCTTATTCCTATATTGTTTAATTTTGCTAAAAGTTTTTTATGACATACCATATCGAAGGTTTTTTTAAATCCAGAAATAGTGCCATTACATTCTCGATTTAGAATTATTCATAATGTTAATAGTGTACAACTATCGAGCACATAATATCCATACTACAAAACTATTTATACAATATGTGCTCTATGTGTACAACAGACTAGCTTGGTTACAAATAACTTTTTATCCGTTTATTTTTTACTTTAGAATTTAAAAATATTACATAGCTTAACCTCTATACTTTGATTTATAATGCATTTTAACAGCATTTTATTCTTGAATTTCAATGTAGTGAATTTCTTTGGTTTCCATCAAATTAAACGCTCGAAAGTAAAGTAATGTGTTATAAAACTTGTTTATTATTGTCAACAGGAGTTAAAGTACATTATTTTACCGATTATTAAGTAAAACTGTTAGTTTCGGTTAACAGTACATATTTGATGTTAATAAACACGAAATTTAAAAATACTATAAATATTGTATTTTATTTTGGGGTTTAATATTGTAAAAATACAAATTTATTTTCGATGTCAACTATACAACAAAAATGCTCACCAGGAGTTTAGCAGTTGGTGGACGATACCCCTCTGACGAGGACTTGCCCAACAATGCTCTAAAGTTATCGTATCGAATATCGCATCGACTACAACACTATCGGTTATTTTTGACAATCGTTATTTGGATTGTCCACAACGGGATTAAAATTTTAGTTAGATGAATATTCTTGTGCACTAAGTATTTCATTTTTCAACCCCCTTTAAAAATATATAAAATAATAAAAGAATAATGCAAGGCTTCCCCGCAATAATAGCGTCACATAACAGTCAGCATACAAGGAGTTTGTAAGTGATGTGCAGCAAATTGCATAGGTTAATATTCATTATCGTTTTGCAAAACATGTTGTTACATATAAACTGAGCTAATTAAACAGGAGCTAGACTTACTTGGATTAAACATTTTCGACTAGATGGCTAACACATTTTGACCGATAAGCCATTTGACTGACATTTTAAATTACTGTAAATACAGTAAACTTACTGTAGCTTATTTCCTATATGAGAAATTCGCTAAAACCCACTTTGTCAACATATTATTTACTTGTCTTGCTAATATTTTACCCAACCCACCATGTTAAACTTCCCTATCCCAAGCGTGATGTAAATAACTTCTTTACTTCACAAGTGAAGTGCAAAAGCTAAATGTTGTACTGAAATTCACAAAATATACAAGTATAAATCAGCAAAAATCGTGTCGAATGCATGTCTTTTGGATATCGGTCGGAGTGCTAGAAGGCGGTACTTTGGAGGTTGAGGTGCTCCATCTAAGAAGGAAACAATAACGATGGGCTTAATAGTTTGAGAGAACCCTGTTTCTCTTTGCCATCCTCGTAACATGGGGCGACTGTCTGTATGCATATCGATAGTTGACCCTCCTCAGAATCGATACAATCGAAGGACTACTTCTACCGAATGCCCAGTCCAAGTCGTCGGTTGCCTAGCAACCTCAAATCACTTGTAAGCAGCAAGTGGTAGGGCAGTAGGAGGTTGGAGGAACACATTTGCTAATTCCCTTTCCCAATTAATGGTAAACCATTTACCTCTGCTAAGCAAGTGTCTGACAGAACCTGAGTTGACATCCGGGTCAGTAGTCTATGGTCAATGCGAAAACCGGGGTCACCACGAAGCATGCTGCAGCGACGGGAGGGAATTTGTATAACAGAAAGTAATGGGGAATTTATTCTGAAACATGGTCAGAAATAGTTATCATAGGTTTAATACTTAATGTAATGATAAGGGGTAGGATAGAGAGTATCGTAAGTTTATTTTTGAGTTGACACGCTGTCGATTGAGTGGTATTCTCAAATCACCTAGTGTTTTAGTGGAACCTAGTGGAACTTAGTGAGCAGCCGATTTTCCAATCTTAATACAAAATACATCCACCTTGCTACATTAAAATGTAAAAACGTGTAAATCGTGTACATATATGTTTCATTGACAACTCGTAAGAGGTGTGAAGCAATCAATCCGACAGTGTCGGTTAAGGATAAAAACAAAAACAAGTAAGTAAGTTTGTGTACAATATTTCCTGTTTAAATCGTGCTTGACCATAATCCTCTAGTATTTTTCTGTTTTTCTAATAGGAAAAGTGGATTTTCAGATCATAGTATTGTATTCTAATAGACAAACTTCCTACGAACTATATAGGCTACATTATTTTGTTCCTATTAAATCCACCATTACCTTTCGCTTTTTAACTATAAAATTATCAAATACAATTCGTTGGAAGTTATAGCCTGCTAAATGTCAAATACAGAAATTAACTGTTAAATAATTGAGTAACTAATGATAAAATATACTGTATTTTGATTGTTAAATAATAGAAAATATAAGTACTACTTTTCTTCTCTGTGGTCAAATACATCGCATTTGCAAAGCACGTTTGCCATTTATAACTAATGTGATACCAGTTGAATACACAATCTGAATCCTCTGAATTGGAACAATAAAAAATCTTAGAAACTACATAACTAAACCTATTTCACACCACAATAGGTCGTCCGTATTTATATTTTCATCATATTTCCTATATAACCTGTTTATGAATGTATTTAGGTGGTGGATCAAATTATGTTTTAGCTATTTTCTTACGGAATGACTCCTTTATTTACTTATTTAATGAGTAATTACTCATTTAGGATTAGGCATTTAGCATAATCCTAGGTCAGGAGCCACATCATATTTTTCATTTCAAACTCCTAAACAACGATGTCTCGCACCGATCCATATAATAGTATAATCCATGTAATAATAAACATTTTCACATCCTTAACCATTTTCACTATCTATTCTAAATAAACTGTTCTGTCATTACCATTCCAATATTAATCTCAGAGTAAATGGTAAAAGTAACATTTTAGGGCTATGGTATTCTGCGTCCTCCGTTTGCCCAAATTCCCGAAGGAAACTATCTGAAGAAACTGCACCACAATGAGGTCCAAATAATGATCCAAAAATCAACAAAATCGATAAAGCCTTGTGGAGGAGTTCCAGGAACAAAATACTTAACATGTTTGTATTGTATTAAATCTGTTCATTAGTTTGACAATTAATTTGTGATAATTCACGCTATGAAATAATGTAAACGATATGCTTTTATAACTTATCCAACCGCAAATGTAATCATTAGTAGTACATCGGTAGTCTTAGTAGAAATGTGAATCCTATTGAACGTAATATTGCCTATCAAACTTACCTTGTATTTTGAGGAGATATGAGGCGGTATTAACAGGTGTTCTGCAATATATAGCAGCATGTCCAAACATGTCTGTCAATCTTGGATGTGTTGAGACGTGCGCAAACACTAACAACTTGCGCACGTCTCGTCACCGGGCCGCGCCATCAGCAGAATAGGACTTCATGGAAGTGAAAACCAATAGACTACTTTGGAGAAAAGAAACAGTCGTTTTACTTTTAGTGAATTTCCCATATAGGGAATAAGCTATTACCGTAGTACTCATGGTAAGACCTGGGCCCGGGACCGATTTTTTTTTCGTTTTGAGGTCCCTAGAGGCCAAAAACACCATCCATTCAAATTCACACACATATATATATAACCAGCATGATCGGACCATGGGAAAAACGGGGGTTTATGGGGGGTTTTATGGGGTAAAAATGGATTTTTCCCACTTTTGACTCAAAAAACATAAAATTTTGCAATTTCTTTCCAAACTATTTTGTAGAGCTTAAAAAAACAAATAATTTAGTATATTGAAGCGTTATAATCCACCTAATGGTTACGGAGAAAATTTCAAAAAATTTTAAATTTAAAATTCCCATGTTATTCTTATGGAGAATAAGTAAACTGTTGTAGTTTGCTTGTTTATTAACATTTTTTGCCCAAATTTGGAAAATGTTTTTATTTCTTACTAACTATTAACATTTTACATAAACACACTTTTACCCTCCCTGTTGCAGCAAACCTAAGTATGTGTTAAACTGATTCTATTTAAATACGGAATAAATGTGATATTTTTAAGGAGACATTTTAGTGTAAATCCAATCAGGCAAATGGAAATTCGCTTAGTCTGCAGGTTTGCTGCGGCGGGGGTATTTAAATAATATGAAAATAAAAATTTCTTGAGAATTCATGATTATGCAACAAAGTTTTTACCTATTATATTTAATATTACATATAACTAATATAACTGCATGTTTTGAAAGTCAAAATTGTGAATTGTCATGTACTTTAAAGTATATAATATATATGCCACTAATGCTACCATGATAAATCTATCTAAATATTTATATTAGATCATTATCTTCAAAATTAGACCATGAGCAGTGCAATATGTTGCATAGTTTCTTTGTTATACCACTTTGAAATATGGTCTAAAGAACGTGAAAACCAGTTTTTATTCGCTGTAGCCTGTACGTGACAACTTCTTGGCCGTATCGTATTTTTGTATTTTTTGTTAGCCTACTACACACTAGAAAAAATAGTTAATCCATTTTTATTGTGTATTAAAAAAAAGTGTTTTTCAGTGGTGAACAATTTACATAAATGTCATTAGGAAAACGTCACATTTCATTATACATGTTATACAGTTTCTTAAATACACAATTTTATTTTTCAAACAAATTTCTTCAACTAATCTAAGTTTTCTGAATAGAGGAAATAAATAAATACATTGCAAAACCTTTCCATTTAATCAATAGAAAGTCGTCTCTAAAACCGGCTTATTCAGTTTTTTCTACAAATCAATAATTAGGCCTATAATCTCCTATCTGGGGATTTGGGTATATCAAAAAATAAACTATTCAAAATTTAAGTGATCCAAACAGCCTCTTGAGCATCAGCGGAGAGGCATCTTCCATCCTGACGGCGTTTTGATCCTGGCCACCTCTCCGCTCTGCTTCGTCGCCCCTCCGGTGTCCGCCGTGACTCGACCTAACAACCGCCCTGCCGCAAGTTATTTGTGCAATTTTTGATATTATTTAAATGTATATTTATTGATTGTCGCTGTTGACATGGACTCATGAACTTTACTAGCTTCTCAAGCCGTGCTTCGCAATACGAAGATAAATCAGTTTCATCATTGAAATAGATTTAGAATAAGGTTGTAGATTTAATAATCCTACCACATAGTTGTGTAATAGCTATTTACCTTACAAGTGTAGTAAGAGCGCTTTTACATCACGCAGGTGAATGTTGTGCAACGAGCGGAAGCGAGTTGCATAATTTACCGAAGTGATGTAAACACGCTCTTGCGTAACGTGTAACGTACATGATTTTACCTGACCCGACAATATACAGGAGGTTACGAACAATATTTTTCATTATCCATTTCACTCATCTTCTAAAAGTAACGTTCATTTACAAACAAAAGCTAGGTTAGGAAAATTCTTCAAAACATAACAATAAAATTCAAGCGCACAGCTGATTTCTAGCGTTGAATGTTGTTGGCTCCATAGAGGTATATCTTTTTAAGTTAATCACTCAATATTATTTAAATGGGTTTCATTGCCTCACCGAGTGAGTTTTTTCAACTTTACATCACTCGTGAAGTAAAGAAGTTGTCTGCATCACGCTTGGGATAGGGAAGTTTAACATGGCGGGCTAGGTAAAGATATTTTACCTAACCCGCCATGTTAAACTTCCCTATCCCAAGCGTGATGTATATAACTTCGTTACTTCTCGAGTGATGTAAAGTTGGAAAAAACTCACTCGGTGATGTAATGAAACCCATTTAAATAACATTGAGTGAATAACTTAAAATATATACCTCTATGGAGCCAACGACGTTCAACGCTAGAAATCAGCTGTGCGCTTGAATTTTATTGTTATGTTTTGAAGAATTTTCCTAACCTAGCTTTTGTTTGTAAATGAACGTTACTTTTAGAAGATGAGTGAAATGGATAATGAAAAATATTGTTCGTAAACCCTGTATATTGTCGGGTCAGGTAAAATATTGTACGTTACATGTTACGCAAGATCGTGTTTACATCACTTAAGTGAATTATGCAACTTGCTTCCGCTAGTTACACAACATTCACCTGCGTGATGTAAAAACGCTTTTACTACACTTGTAAGGTAAATAGCTATTTTTTTTATCAGCTGTATTAAATTGTGAAAGCAACTGATTGTTTTCATTTAAATGTCAACGCAATGGTAAAAATTGTGAATTTTCTTATGCTTCCGTGGAGACCAATGTTCAATGTTACTATTTACTTTTTAAAACCTCACCTCAAAACTTTGGACATCAAAGGAGCATAGCCCGAGAGTAACTCAGGGAAGTGAATAGGCCTATGACATTCCTAGATATGTGGTCCATCTTTTTGCTTAATTTTGGCTGTATCGGCTTAGTATTTTAGTCGTGACAGCTGTCCAGACAGACAAAAACCACCTCAATTTTGTAATAGTATAGATTTATCAACGTTAACTATTTTTAAGAACATATTTTATTAATTGATATTAATTTATTCAATTAATGGGTCCCTAAAGGTTAATTTTACAAGGTTTAAAATGCAAGTACATTCAAGTACTTGGTTATTTGTTGAATGATTTTTTTATGAATTTTAAAAAAGTTCTGTTTTTGAAACTTTTGATAACGAGAAATTGCTGTGAGGTGGTAGAACAGCTGAAGATAAATAGTTGATTTATTTGGGTATCACATGTATTATTGTTGATTGTTATTGTTTTGAAATCTATATATAAAGCCAAAAGTACCCATGAACTTTTGAGAAAACAACAAGTCACATCCCCATAAACAATATACTTAAAAGGTTCGTCATGACGAGAAACCTTGCGCAAAATTATCCATTATTTCATAAATTGCCCTATAAGGTCGTAATTGCTTTCCAAAGGGAACTTTCCATTTACCTAATGTTAAAAATACCTCAGCTGTTATTATTTGTTTGTATTACCATTACTGTATTCTGTTTTGTTTATTACAGCTTAACTTAACCAATCAATCTATATCTATCTATATATTAACTAGCTGTACCCGCGGGCTTCGCCCCGTTTAACTTCATAAGCATTCGCATGGCTCATTCACGTCCTGGTTGAAGTTCGTTCGCTACGCTCACTCACCTTTAGGTTGGAGCTCGTTCGCTGCGCTCACTTGCCTTCAGGTTTGCTCGTTCGCTACGCTAACTCGCCTCCAGGTTGAAGTTCGTTCGCTACGCTCACTTACCTTTTGGTTGCAAATTAGCTATTGTCATAAATTAAAAAAAAATAATAGTGCTGCACCCTGTTGGTAATCCTTGTAACTTTTATGCTATTAAAGATCATAGAACAGAACCAACTTGTTTAATTGAAACAGCTGTTAAGATTCATTAATTCCTTTTAAATATGAAAAATCATAAGATTAACATGGGGAACTACAGAGCCACTGGGGCGGAGCCCGAAAGGGTTTTTGAGATAAGAATATGCTTTAATGTTAATCGGGAATGTGAGCTATCATCATGCCAAATTTCAGTCCAATCCGTCCAGTAGTTTATGCGTGATTGAGCAACACACACACAAACACACACACAAACATACACACAAACATACACACAAACTCACAAACTTTCAGATTTATAATATTAGTAAGATAGGCAAGCATGTTTCTTTAAAACCTTTTTTCTCAGCTCGTGTGCATCGCAGGGAAAATCTACGCATACTGTTGGAAATATATTTTCCTGCAGATGTGCAGAATGCCTTAAAAATTTAAAATAGGCTAACAAATAAGCACAAAAAATTAATTTGAAAACTTCACAAAATTAACATGGACCATATGGGTTGCCATGATGGTGACGAAATAACAACAAAATGTAAACAGAAAATCAAAACAAATGGAAGAAATTCCAATCACATGTTTTATTTACAGTGTGGGGAGAAAATAGAGAAGTCTGTACATTAATTATTTTTGGTCGAGTTTCGACCACAGGACGATCACTAGTACTTATTTAATACGCAAGCATGTTTTTTGTGACAATTACTCCTCCGAAACTACTGAACCGATTTACATGTTTTTGGTGTCATTGGAAAGAGCGTAACGTGAAGTTGTGCAGGAAACTTTCTTTTTGGGGAAATAATCAGAGAGTGAGGCCCTAGGACCCTTTAAAGTTTCGTATTTCTCCATAAGATTAACATGGGAAACAAAAATTATTATGCAACTACAGCTGTTGTCAGAAATTAAAAGTGAGAAGAAGAACATATGTTAATTTTAAACAGTCAATAAGTTTGCTAATTTTACAGTTTGCTACAAACATTTACTGACTTGGTTG